GGGTCACTAGCTTTGAGGTTTACAGGCTACTTTCGGGCTTTATCTTTTATGGCTTCGCGGCTTAGGGCATTGAACTCGGGGGTGGTTTTTAGCACAGTGGAGCCCGTTCGCAGCTCGCGCGCTGCAGCACGCGTCAGTTACACGTATTATGTCACGGATCTGAGCAGCCCGAATCCTCAAAGCTCACTTGCAGCAATCGTTACAGGAATCGGAACTCCTGTTAGTAGCCCCTACACGAATCCTACTTTAGAGAACCCTGAACCCTAAACCCTAATGCCCTTAAAGCCCTAAAACCCTTACAGCCCTAAACCCTAAACCCTAAAACCCTTAAAACCCTAAAACCCTCAAAGCCCTAAACCTCAAACCCTCAAAACCCTTAAAACCCTAAAGCCCTTGAAGCCCTAAACCCTCAAACCCTTAAAGCCCCAAAGCACTTAAAACCCTAAACCCCCTTAGAGCCCTAAAGGCCCTAAAGCACTTAAACAGCTAAACCCTTAGAGCCCTAAGGATGGCCGGGTGTAGTGCGAGAAGATGTGGTCCCCGCTGAACGCATGCCTTTGGGTTTAGGGTTTAGGGTTTAGGGTTTAGGGTTTAGGGTTTAGGGTTTAGGGTTTAGGGTTTAGGGTTTAGGGTTTAGGCTGTTACCCAATCTGAAGCGGCGTATTTAATGTAGGGGTCTTAATAATTAGAATAGGTTTTGGGCGCCATTATACTATAATTATAATGAGGAGCCCCCCCCAAAACCTGTAATATCCAGGGGGTCCTGATTATATATGTACCCCAAAACCCTATTTTAATTATTAAGGCCCCTACACTAAGCTTCAGAACTTCGGGTCCAGTGTTTCAGGGGTTTAGGTTGAAACAAACCAGAAATGCATTACAGCCCTACCCCCAGAAGACTCAAAACTCAACAAGCCCCAAGAGCTGCAATGAAGCCGCAAAACCCCAAAACCCTTAGACCCTGAACCCTAAACCCTAAACTACGCCTACAGTCCAGACCTTCTAAACCCTGAACCCCAAAACCCTGAACCCTAAACCCTAAACTACGCCTACAGTCTAGACTTCCTAAACCCTGAACCCTAAACCCTAAACCCTAAACCCTAAACCCTGAACCCTAAACCTTAAAATACGCCTACAGCCTAGACCTCCTAAACACTGAGTCTCAAAGCTGGAAGGCCAAAGCCCCCAGCAGTTTCTCTGAGGTATGCCCTCACCAAGGATCAAGTGCAGGCTGGTTTAGGGTTTAGTGTTTAGGGCTTCGGATCTTTCTGTCAGTTCAGTGTTTGTGTTCGTTTCTGACGTTTTTGTTGCTTGCGCTTTGTACCATGATCTTCGCACATCGGACTGCTTGTGACAAGGTGCCTGGATGCAATAAATCCCATACTTTAGAAGCTTACGGACCTACACCCGTTCTCTGCATCAGAGTCTCTCTCACGCACACACAGTTCTTCAAACAGCAGGAGCCTGCACAATTTTCAATACTTCCCTGCACCCCCTTGCAAGAAAGAACCCAGAAAATACTGCCGTTCAGATTCGTGTCCGGAGGCCTTGTCTGTGGCGGCTGTGACGTTCCTTCGGCTGCACTTCAGGTACTTCGCAGACTCCCATCTCTGTTTGACTAGGTCCCATGAAACGAAATACCGCCCATTAGGCAAAATGCAGTTACATGCATCTATCCCGCAAGAGAGGGCAGTGCTTAGCCTTGATCATGCAATCTTCTGGAACTTGTAGACAAGGGATCCTTCGGTACTGGGGGATTCTGGACGTTCTAGCTGCTGGAACCTACAGGGACAAGAAAATCCCTAAACCCTTAAAACCCGAGCTAAGCCCTAAACCCTACGCTAAAGCTCGTCTAGTGGCTGGGGCCTTTCTCGCTGTTGCTTCTTGCTTGTGTGTGTGTGTATGCACTGCGCCATGTCTAGCTGCTGCAGAATCCGAGACGTGGGTTCTTTGAGGTTCTCCAGAGGATATATGCCTACATATATATATATATATCAGTTTATGCTCATGCAGATGGATATTTGTGTATATGTGTCTGCGTATATACATATACATCTAAAATTACGCACACATGCATACACACCTATGGGCTTCGGCAGAAGCCGTCGTTGCGGCCGGTTCGGTTCACATCTGGGTCTGTCTCTTGGCAAAGGAAAAAGGGCAAACCCCAAACCCTTAGGGTTTAGGGTTTATAGGGTTTAGGCTGAGTTCACCGTTTCGGTCTATAGAAAACCTGGACACAGGCATATTGCGCTCAACAAGCCCTCGAACCCTCAACCCTGCGATGTTTGAACCCGGCCTTTTGCAGCAGATGGGGCCGAAAATCCTGGCACCGAAGGTCCCTTGCGCACGCCATGCCCTCAAAGGTAAATCCTTTAGGATAGGGTGTTTGTGGAAGGATATGGTCGGTTTAGGTCTTAGGGCTTAGGGTATGGTGTATCTATACGAAGACTCTGAGGGGTTTTTAGCACTACTTCTTTGTCACTCTGCTCGTCTAAGGTGTTTAAGCCCCACACACTGGGTGCTGACATAGACCGTGACTTGTTCAAGCCTCGTGCTCTATGCCCATGAAAACAGGGATCCGAACATCAGGTCCTTGGAAGACATTGGGTTTCCTAACCCCTAAACCCTAAACAGCAGTTCGGGGTCGACATTCACTGGGTTCCTGTTAAGGAATCTGGTTTAAGCTACCATGATAGGGATCTCTAGTAAATTAGGGTTTAGGGTTTAGGGTTTAGGGCTTATAGTATGGTCTCCTTATTATAGTAACTTAAGTTACGTCCCCTAACAAGACGGCAGTTCAGGAACATTGATGGCAAGCGCCTGGATGAGGATGTTCTCCTGCCCCTTGGGCGACATCCAAGGGAGTGGGGGTTGGGCTGCTTTAGGCTCAATCGGGTCGATGGATTTGAATTTTTTGGTTTAGGGTTTTGGGGTTTAGGGTTTAAGGGTTTGGGGTTTAGGGCTTAAGGGTTTGGGGTTTAGGGCTTTGGGGTTTTGGGTTTAGGGGTTTGGGGTTTTGGGTTTAGGGGTTTAGGGTGTAGGATTTGGGCCTCAGGGTCGTTTCGGGGTTTGGGGCGGGTCAGTGTTGGGGTTCTAGGTTGACTGTTATTTCAGGATCCGAACGAATAATACTACTGATTCTCTGGTTTCTGTAGGGCACGGGCAGGTAATCGGCGAGGGGATTGAACCCAATTCGAGATTACTACAATGTCGATGGCCTTAATGGTCAGAAACGGGCTCTGGGGTATGGTCTGGTACAATGATTCAGGGACTATAACGTATCAGGATTCCTAATTCAGGGCGTTTGTAGGATGTCGGAAGGGAAGGCGCTGCGCATGTGCGGCGTCGTCCGCAGGTTTGACGACGATGAGACAGATGATGATGCTGATGATGCTACTGCTGCCGCTGCTGCTGCCGCTGCTTGCTGCTGCTTGCTGTGCTGCAGGCATGATAAAATGCAGATGATGATGGCCGTGATCATGCAGATATGCAGGTCATCGTGATCCAGTGATGATGCTTATGGTGATGCTGGGGGTGGTGATGCCCGTATGCACACACCCAAATTCGATTAGAACCCTTGCAGAACCCTAGAAAGCAACCCTCGCAGCAACCCCCGAACAGTTTCTGGCCGACATTGTAGGGTTTTAGGGTTTAGGGTTCGGTGCCAGGCGCAAGGAATTCAAGAAAGCAGCTTCTTCTACTCTGAAAGCCCAAACCCCTGAAATCCTGAACCGCACACTCCAAAGCCCTCAAAACCCTGAAACCCTGAACCCTAAATCCCAAACCCTAAACCCTAAACCCTAAACCCTGAACCCGAGCCCTAGCAGACGTCCAGAACACTGGAAGCTTCACGGAACCTTGAAAGGGCTAGACTTCGGGTTTGGGGTTTAGGGTTTAGGGTTTAGGGTTTGGGGGGCTTAGGGTTTAGGGGTTTATGGTTTAGGGCTTAGGGGTTTAGGGCTTTAGGGTTTTAGGGTTTAGGGTTTAGGGCTAGACGCTGAACACCAAAGGAACATCGAGAAGAAGGAGAAAGCCCGCCTCCGGAAGTGCGCCACGAGAAGCCATGCTTTTTCACCCCAATCATGATTGTTTATGACTCTACGTACTAGTTACAGAATGGGTACGAAAAACCTCGAGCAAGCAAGATAATTTGCGCTTTGGTGCTCCCGGAGTGATCCTGGCTAGGGTAATATCCAAACCCGTGCAGCTCTGTTGCCCCTTGCATCAGGATCCCAAGCAAGCGCGGTTGTCCCTGCAGTATCTATAAACGCTATAAACCCTAAACCTCACAAGCCCTACATCGTACCCATGCGCCCTATAAGACCCTAAACCCCCCCCAAACCCAAGACCCTAAACCCTAAACCCTAAAGCCTAAACCCTAAACCCTAAACCCTAAAACCCTAAACCCTAAAACCCTAAACCCCAAACCCCAGACCCCCTAAGCCTGTCCTTGCCTTGAAGCCTCAACCCCTGAGCCCCAAGATACGAAGCCCAGTCACGAAGAGCCGGCTCTCTCAGTTCCGAGGGTCTATCTAGACCCTAAAAGAGTCTTAGTTGTGGGGTTTAGGGTTTAGGGTTTTAGGGTTTAGGGTTGTAGGTCAATGGTTCAGTTATGGTTGCTTGCTCTCTTTATCACAGGTTCCGCCAAGAACGGTGAGCCCCCGAACCAGTAACAATTGGAGCTTGCCTGAAAGCAGGTACTTCGCGGACACCTGGAAGGACACTAGCCATTTGCTCGCGTCGGTGCCTTGTAGCTGCCACAGGGTTCCAGCTTCGAGAATCAAATCAGGCGAGGCGTCTGAAGTGTGTTTTTGGTTTTGATGCAGAGATGCAGTACCCTCCATTGCTCATTCACTGTCCTGACTTTGTCTTGATTCCCGCTGAGGTGCTGTCATCGCATGTCGGCTCCGCATGGCTACAGCAAGTACAGGATTAGGACTTGAAGTCGTCAAGAAGTGCGACCGCCAACGTTTTGTCTAGCCTAGCCCCTGGTTGCGATGTCCTGCCTGTCATCTACCCCGATTCTTCTTGCTGTTCCAGAACTGAAGCATGCAGACCGTCACAGTGATGTGGAAAGCACAGTGGCGAATGAGCACAGCGACATTGAAAGTGTCGAGGACTCTTGCCCCTCCGAAGTCCCATCGCCGCGCTCCAGTGGTACGGCTGACGCGTGCGAAGACGAGGAGAGCAAATGCAACGTTGTTGTGAGGAGCACGTTCATCGATGTGGATGATGGGCGAAGCCTGATGCAGCGCTACAGGCAGCTGCGCCGAGCGATGTCAGATTCGCTCTTGATGGGTGCCTTTGCCGAGGAGGAGCCGTATTACCCAGGTAG